GAAGAGCGTTGGCAGTCTCTTTTGTATTCATTGCAAATACCTTCACCCTAGAGAAACTTTATTCAAGCTCAGGAAAATAGCTGACAATCTGGGCACTCTCCCTAACCGTGTGACAGGTAAGGAAAGGCCACCTTTAGCCCTCTCTCATATTTCCCTTTATATTTGGAAGCCAAGAGCCATCCTAGTGGAAACAGACCTAGTGTCTTTTAAAGTCTGCTGTATAATTTTGATACCCTGGTTCTCAACTGTTTTCCCCACTCCAATCTTACTCTAAAAGATGCCACTCGCTCAGATCAGTAGCAGTGGCTCATCATGGTAATAACTGCCCTGCTGAGGAAGGTGACAGAAGGAAAGAATCAATGTGGTTGGTGGGTGGAGATTCTGCCTTGGATTCCCGCTCCCCGCTCTCCCCGCCCCGCCCCCCGCCTCATTTTCACAAGCTCTTCAAATCTAATACGAATTTACAAGCATTTGGGGGCAATCTTTACTTCATTATCTACCTGAAAGAATTTACGTCCTGTAAGTAGAGTTTCTCTAAACTCATCACTGTCAATTTTTTGTTCACGATACTGCAAAATTATTCTATTCTTGGGGACAGTTATCCCTTTCAAGTTCCTTTTTACGTTTGTTTTGTTCTGAAAGCCTTAGAGATGCAGGCCAGGGTGACTGGGACAGAGGTGGGGTCCCTACCTAGTGAATAGAACTTGGGAGGCAGAGAACTCGTTTTTACGCCGGTAAAGAGTAAAATCCCGAGTCGCAGTTGATTTCATGCAAGCAGGGCTGGAGAGGCCCAGGGAGGACCTAGTTTGGGGTGAGCACCGGGATCTGTGAGCCAGTGTTGCTTCAGCGTCTCACGGTACGTGTGGGGGGAGGCAGGTCCCCTGTCCCTCCTGGTCCCATTGGCACTACCCTTCACCCCAGTCTCTTTGGAACTATATTAATAGAAGGCGACACTTCACACATTGGCGCTCAGACCCCAAAGGGAGGCTGGCAATGGCTTGGCAGGTGGGCAAGAAGCCGGGAGATGGGTGGGAGGGTGGGGCGGAGGCATCGTCGAGCGGCGTTTGGCTCAGCCAATGGTAGTTCGGGGCAGGGGTGGCAGAGGCGGAGGCACCGAGGCGGATCAGCCAATGGAGGGCGAGCAACTACTGGAACGACCTGGTGACGTGAGGAGCGTTCCATTCGCCCAGTGGTGGGCGGCTGCCACAGCTGGTTTAGGGCCCCGACCATTGGGGCCCCTTGTCAGGAGGAGGCAGCCTCCGGGCTGGGGAGAAGCCGCTGCCACCTCGGGCGGCCGACGCAGTCCCCTGGGACAGTGCACTTCCTGGCCTCGGTTCCCGGCCGAGTTCTGTCTCCGGGGTTCAGGTAACAAGGGGTGGGGGTGGGGGTCTCCGGGGTTCGGCCGCGTGGTCTACCGCTCCCGCGGCTGCTCCGGGACGCGCGGACCCTGGCTCTCCCCTTCTCGGATAGGCAACTGCCGAGCCCCTGGCCGGGGGTGACTACACGTGGCGGGGCGTGTGTGAGTGTGTACGAGCGTGCGGAGGTGGCGCACGTCCCAACCTGCCCGGGGCGGTGGTCGGCGGCGTGGCCGAGGCAGGGCGGGCCTCCCGAGGCCGCGCCCGCCGCCCGCCTGGGACTCCGGCCTCGGCCCCGTGCCGTTGGGCCGGTCGCTGGTTCTTGACGGATTTTGATCTTTGTTCTCCCAGGCCCGGCTCCCCTTCCTGGTCTCTCTTCTCTCACTGGGCCGGTTTATCAGGAGAAGATTGTTTTCCAGGTTAGTTTTACACAAAGGAAGTGTCCTCTGTACCTCTGGTGCCCCTTCCCCTTTCCCAAGCCTTCCACCTTCTCCTTTCCCTGCTCAGTTCCTCGTCTCTCTTGGGACCCTTACCCTCTCCAGCCCAGGAATGATTTCGAGTTGGTTGTTTCTCATCAGTCAGGTGGGCTGCAGGCTTCCGCCTCATTCTTGCCAGCGCGGGGCATGTGGTATCAGTAAATAGAGGCCACAGCACCCGACCTGAGAGGAGGAGAAGGGTGGCAGTGGCAGAGAAAGGCTGGGCCTGGGGATTCAGGATGCTAAGTGGAGATGGTACTTCTGAAATGTCCCAGAAAGCACCTTTATGACTTTTCTTGACTGCTGCCGTACCCCGCTCCCGCCCCTCCTCCCCCCAGCCATATCAGAACCTCTCCTGCTTAAGTCAGCCTTTCACCTACGGGTCTGTGATGTGGTTTCATTAAGATTCCCACCAATGTTAGGCTAGACCAGCAAGGTTGGTTCATTTCCCAGACTCAGGAAGTTAGGAGGGTTTGATTAGGGGAAATCTGTTTTGAGTAAATACAACCTGGGTTTGTGTACAGAGTGTCCACAACCTCCTAGCTCTGCCAGAGGATGACTTGTTCCCTGGTGTGATTCACATTTGAGTGGCTAATTGAAGAAAGAAGGCGAAGAACTGGAGGAGGGGTGGGAATGGCTCCTTAAGGACAGAAACTCTACTATTATTTTTAGAGTCCTCTTTGTGATGATTATAGAAAAATATGGTATAGTGGAAAGCTCCCTGGACTGAAAGTCAGCAGACCTGTTTTCTTGACTTAGCTTCATGGCTTTGTGACCCTGGAGAAGTTATCTCCCCTCTTCGGTCTTCACTTTACTCATTTCCAAAACAAAGTAATTGGGCCTATCAACTACAAAATCCCTTCTAGTTCCAAGGTTCTATGATAATCACATCATCAGTATTATATTGGAAGTAAAGAGGTATATTTAAGAAGATATGCTAGCCCCCCTCTCTTTTTGAGAACCTTTAACCTATTCTTCTTTTAGGGGACAAAAACAGATTGGAAATAAACTCTCCCATTTCTTCACCCCCATCCCTTCAAGCAGTGCTCATCTTTCTGCCTCTGGGAAAGGAAGATTGAACTGCATTTTCTTGTTCCTGTCTCATTTGTGTGTGTGTGTGTGTGCTTTTTCTTAGGGCTAGAAATTGGACTTCTGATGATGTTTGACCCAGCGGCAGCAATAGCAGGCAACGTGATTTCAAAGCTGGGCTCAGCTTTTGTTTCTTGCCTCTTGTAATCACAAACCCATTTTGGACCAGGAATTCCAATCATGTCTGTGATGGTGGTGAGAAAGAAGGTGACACGGAAATGGGAGAAACTCCCAGGCAGGAACACCTTCTGTTGTGATGGCCGCGTGATGATGGCCCGGCAAAAGGGCATCTTCTATTTGACCCTCTTCCTCATCCTGGGGACGTGTACACTCTTCTTCGCCTTCGAGTGAGTTTCCATTGAGTAGAGTTGCCTGATTATGGTTACCTTGGGTTCAGGGGAAGAACCTTCTTTCTGGGGAGTTTGTGGCTAGTCCTTGGATGGCTGTCATTGTCCTCTTGGGCAATGTCTATAGATCATGCCAACTGAATTCGTTGCTTTGAGCTTATAGCAGAGTATGTGCCTCCTAAAAACACCAAGACCCTTGATACCAATTTTATAGCACTGATTTGGGGCCACCCCTGGAACACTTGGGAGATAAAAGAGTTTGTCTTTATTACTCACCTCCCCTTTTCAGTGATCTCCTTAGGTGCTTAGTGACAGACTGCCTCTTCCCTACCCCTCCCGAGCCTAGGGGCACGCCCTGTGGTCATAACTCCACCCCATAATACTCACTTATTCTGTTATTCTGGGTCCTATTTCCTTAGGGCTCAGCTCTCAGCTAGCTGTTAAATTGAAAAGCCAACTGAATTGGGAACCTGCAGGCTGGTTCCAGCCTCAGCTGTGCCACAATCTAGCTGTGTGTGTGGCACATATGTGCTTATTAAATGTGAGTTGCTCTTTCTTTCACTCAAAATCACTCAACATAAACAACTCTCTATTCTGTGTGTGCCTGATACCAGCCTTGGAGTTATTTTTTCTGTGATGTAATAGCTAGTACTAGAGCCACTGTTTGAAGTCTGTGTAGGTCACTGCTCAAGGGAAGTGGCCAGTTGGATTCTAGGGTACTGTGGCATGACTCCTGGGTATGCTGAGAATGCTGTACACTCTAGGGCTGGGAGTAATGCTGATTGGTTTGGGATTACAGTATTATGAGGAAGGCCTTGAGGAGCCAAGAGGTGTGTTTGTGGACTATGAACCACACCTAATATGAGCCTGCTACAGTTCCTGTGCCCTGGTGACCTGGAAATGGAGCTTCCATGAGGGGGTGTGGCCATGGGACGGTAGGACAGGGCTTCTTGGCCAGACTTCAGTGGGTAATTAAAATGAGCTCTGGTCTCTTGGGGCTCATTTTTGTCTTTCTTCTATAAGGGCTTCAGGCTTACCCAGTGCATCAAGGGTGATTTTTTTTCGGGCTGCTTTACCGGACTTTTTTTTTTTTTTTTTTTTTGTTTTTTGGCGGTCCACGGGCCTCTCACTGTTGTGGCCTCTCCTGTTGCGGAGCGCAGGCTCAGAGGCCATGGCTCACGGGCCCAGCCGTTCCACGGCATGTGGGATCCTCCCAGACCGGGGCACAGACCCGTGTCCCCTGCATCGGCCAGCGGACTCTCAACCACTGCGCCACCAGGGAAGCCCTTTACCGGACTTTTTGATGGTTGCAGCTGGCTTGAGTAACAGCAGAGGAAGGAGGGGGACATAGTTTATAACAGGGCTAGGAAAGTAAGGTCAGAGGACCTCTTTGTCAAAGGCACTTCTGTTGCTGCTATTGCTGCTGACTTTGTAAAGTATTTGGCAAAGTCAGACAGTTTGATGTTGGCTTCTTAGCTGCTTTCCAGTCTGAGTTTCATGGCTGAGTGTGTGTGTGTGTGTGTGTACTTGTGTGTGTGTGTACCTATGTGTGGTACAAGTGAGTGTGTGCAGGTGGGCAGGCATATGCATAACATTAAAAAAAATGTTTCCCCACTCCTCACCCTTCTCCAAGTTTTCTTTGCTTTATTCCTGCCTTGCTTCTTTTTGGAAGTGCAGAGATGAACTCTGCTTTCTATCATTCTCACTCCTTCCTCTGCCGAATCACTAGCTCTTTTGCCACCCTCCCTGCCCCGCCCAGGGTTAAATTTTTGTGGTTGGAACCATTCAAAACAGAGATGAGATTTGTTTCTAGACCCTGAGTGAGCTGGTAATTCTGGGCCCAGGAAACCTCTGGTTTGACTGGCCAAGGGAACTTGAAATTTGGAGCTACTGGCATTTGACCCTTTTTGTATCTGGGAGCCAGACAGAGTCTGATATGGATCTGTTCCACTTCGGCCCTGAAGGCCTCTGAAGAAAACTGCCTGTGGGATGAAGCTTGTAATTAGCCAAGTTACTGTTTGAAAGAGGCAGGTTGGGTTTTCTACCAAGATGACTTTTTCCCCCAAGTTATTTCTTGCGCTTTGCCTTCGGATATGAAGGGCGAGGTTGTTTGTAAACTGCTCTGGGTTCCAACTGTCTGTGGGGTAAATATTTTTGAGGGTAGGGCTTGGGGGAGGGAGTAAGAAGGCCAGAGGGGAGAAGGAAGTAAACGTGTTAGCTGAGCAGTGGAATGGGGAAGGCTACATCTGACCAAAGGGGAGAGGACCCTGGCAATGAATCCTTTTTTTACTGAGAATGGTAGAATCTGTGTGAGCGTGCATGCATCTGTCATATGCAGACACACAGGCACTCTAGGTGGCAGCTGCCTTGAGCCTAACCAATGATAGGCTATACAGAGGATATACCAGCATGCCTCTGAGGAATGAAATTTCTTTCTGGTTGACCTTTTTCTTTGGGGTCTGTAATTTACTACCCACCACGTAGTGGTGGATAGGGTTTGGGGGCAGAATATGGGCTCCTTCGCTAGTATGAGAACTTAGGGAGACCTCAAGAAATCAGCTGGGGGCTTCCCTGGTGGCACAGTGGTTGAGAGTCCGCCTGCCGATGCAGGGGACACGGGTTCGTGCCCCGGTCCGGGGAAGATCCCACGTGCCACGGAGCAGCTGGGCCCGTGAGCCATGGCCGCTGAGCCTGCACGTCCGGAGCCTGTGCTCCGCAACGGGAGAGGCCACAACAGTGAGAGGCCCGCATACTGCTCAAAAAAAAAAAAAATCAGTTGATCTAGCCCCCTGCCTTCAGGCAGTTGAGGGTGTCTGAACCACCAGTGACAAAGGGCTGTCTCTTTTCATCTTTAAACTGTCTAGGAGCGTAGACTATATATCCCCTGGCTGCTGCATTTTGGCCTTGAGGAAGAAAGTTCAGATCTTGAGGCACATCTGGACCTGCATTTTAGTAACAGCGTCCTGCTTGCAGCAGGTGCATAGGAATGAGTGCGAGGTGATTTATAACCACCCGTGGCACAGCCCTGGGTCAGCCAGATGGCTTGAGAAATCTGGTCAGGCGTGTGGGCGCCCCTTGATGAAAAACATGCAGTGTTAGTAGTGCCAGTGGACATCTTTTTATTTTTGGATTTTGCCTTTACACATTTAGATTTCTCAAAGGAGGGACCCGTAATTTTCAGTGGACAGACAGTAGGTTGAATACGTAAACTGAACAAAGGTGGTCCATCCAGGAGCGAGTTAGCTCTGTATTGTTAGAAGTGTTTCCAAAGAAGCTGGGTAGCCATCTCTCAGGGCTGCTGTCACAGAGTGGATTCCTGCCCAGGATGGGAAATTGGGCTAGATTATCACTAGGCCTCTTGCAACTCTGAGAGTCTGAAATTCTATATAACTCTTGTGTCTGTCTGGAAAATTCAAATACACACACAGAAAAGGAGGGGATAGAAGATTACCAGTAGGTAGCTGTATTTTAAATGTAATTGTATCTGTAGTAAAAATGTCTTTGAATTTTGAAGCAGAGTGTAAATTGTACAGTACTTAAAAAAAAGAATTACCTTGCAAGTAGAGATTATCATACTAAGTGAAGTAAGTCAGAAAGAGAAAGATGAATACCATATGATGTCACTTATATATGGACTCTAAAATGTGACACAAATGAACATATCTATGAAACAGAAACAGACTCAGGGACGTAGAGAACAGACTTGTGGTTGCCGGCGGGGGTGGGGTGGGGTGCGGAAGGGATGGAGTGGGAGGTTTGGGTGAGCAGATGTAAGCTTTTATATATAGAATGGATAAACAACAAGGTCCTACTGTACAGCACAGAGAACTATATTCAGTATCTTATGATAAACCATAATGGAAAAGAATATAAAAAAAAGAATGTATATATAACTGAACCAGTTTGCTGTACACCAGAAATTAACACAGCATTGTAAATCAACTATACTTCAAAAAAATACTTTAGTAAAAAAAAAAAAAAAAAAAAGAACTTCCTAATGTATTCTTAGGATGAGGTATTTAGGAAGTGTGAGCTTTGAGCACATGAACCGTTCTCAGTCCTTTTTACCCAAACCCTGTCCAGCTTGTGTGATGAACACACAGCAAACAGCTTGGCCGGGAATGTTAGGACACTATAGCAGAATGACACTGACAACCTGTGAGCTGTCCAGCTACCGAAAGGCTATTGTGGTATTGAGTCAAATTCAACTTCCTCATAAAGCTTGGGGAAAGGACCAAGTGCACTGTGTTCTGGAAGTGGCTTCCTAGCTGTCTCTTTTAACCTTGTGACCTGATCACTAGTGGGGTCAAGGTCCTGAGACTTCTCTTGTGGCAAGAATGATTGTGTGACTCTTGACCCCTGAACTAGAAGTAGTTTGCTGCTATGATCAGTGCTTATGCCTCACTGTGCTGTATCTAGAGGAAACTGTATCAAGGCACTATCAAACCCTGTTGGACTGACCCTCCTGGGTGCTCCTGATGTACAGAGGAGTCGTTGAATTGGATGAACTGAAAAAAGTTTTGTAGCACTGCTTAGTAATTGTCCCACTTCTAGCCTATTCATATTCTACCTCTTTTTCAAGTCCCTTCTTGAGTCTTCCTTCCTTCATGAAATTTTTCTAGTAATTTCTGCATTCTCAGGACTAATTGTACATACCAGTCATTTAATATGTAATTATATGACATTTTTTATATTTCTGAATTCTGTGGTGATTACACTTCGAGCTCTTTCAATGTCAGGGACCATCTTCTGTGTCTATGTGGCCCCCACAGTGCCCTCTGCCAGGCCTTTCATAGAGTAGGTGATCAATAAATGTTGCTGAATTGATACATTCTGGATGCACTTAAAATGTAACAGTCTTGACTCACAGAATCATAGAGTGATAGAGCCGGAGGGGACCTTGGAGACTCTCCCTATCCTTTTGCAGGTGACAAAACCAAGTCTACAGAAATGGGGTTATTTCATCAAGATCGGTCGGCCAGCCAGTGCCTTTATATGAC